TTGTGTGAGTTCTTTATATATTATGGAGATCAACCCCTTGTCAGATGTATGTTTTGCAAATTTTCTCTCCCAGCTGGTTGGTTGTCTGTTCATCTTGATTCTGGTTTCATTTGTCTTATAAAAGCTCTTTAATCTGATAAAGTCTAGTGGGAAATCTTTTAAATAATGAGAATCTGAGCTGACATAAAGAGCTTTCCATTTTAGAACATTGTCTAAATCCAGCGTCTTGGCCTTATACTGTTGGGCCCTGTCTCTATTGGATTACTGCGTGTTACAGCTAGTACTGATTATATACCTTGGATTTAATCTTCAGGTTAATGTGTATCACTGCCAGTGCGGATCAATCTTTCCTGCTTTGCATGGAGCTCCTACATTTTTAGGGAATTACTTGATTAAATTTCACTTTCTTGCATTTTTTTTTTTAGTTCCTGCTTACACTGATAGAAATAAGTCATGTTTTATCAACATAAAGTACATCAACATTGCCTCACTTTTAAAAATCAAGATTAAAGCAACTTATCATATCTTCTCTTTTGCTTTATTACTACCTGTATATATTTTCTATATAATTTTTTCTCTTTTGAGTAATGTTTACTCATAGACTTTTATTTCTCAAGGTGTTTCGCCTCACTACAGCTATTATTTTTATTCTAATAATTCTGTTTCTATTGTCACAATTTGGATGTAGAATCTCTTGTTGGTTCACTTCTATTAAAGAGGAACCCTGGGAGTTACACAGTGATTCATAAAAAGCATATCTATGATGACTTGACCAATTTTTCTTTAATTGAGGCACTTTTATAAGAGACATATAGATTGGAGAGACCATGCTCACTGAGCCTAGTTGTACGGAGTTATTTCAAGGGTGCCTCCGGGTCTTTGTGCTAATGCTTCTGGGGGAAAAGTGTACATATAAAAACGCCTGAGAAATTCTGTTAAGGGAATGGAATGTGGTGATTACAACTAGTTAATAACCATAGGAAAATATTAAAAATTAATTCAGCATATTTGTTCCTGTTTTTTGGAAATAACTATATAGATGCTGTTCAATATATATCAGTCAGCCAAACATATTCTTATGCTAAAGGAGTGGGCTGTTCTGTCACTTTCTGAAGGCAGAGGACAGTTTTTGCTTTTAAGTTTTTGTTTTTAATCTAGAGTAATATGAAATTCAATACAAATACTTATATTTTATATTTAAAGTTTATATCCTAACTTGCTCTAATTTTATCATCTTAAGTCTTGTGAATTGTCATGTATCAAGAGTGCAAATTCTTTAACTTGCATTGTAAGAATTCTTGATCATGATGGAACACAATGACAGCTTCTCTTGAAACATAGTAGCCTGATCAAATATTGTCTTTGCCTTTCCTTAGAAGGAGAGAATCTTGATTTATTTGAAGAGTTTATTCAGAGCCTCTTTTACATCCTTATTCCTCAAGCTATAGATCATGGGATTCAACACGGGGAACACCACGGTGTAAAATGTAGAAACTATTTTGTCCCTATCAAAAGAATAGCTAGCTCGGGGAAGAGAATAGATGTAGAGAATGGAACCATAGTACAAAGTGACAGAGATCAAGTGGGAGGAGCATGTAGAGAATGCTTTGAGGCGGCCTTGGGTGGAGCGGATCCTCAAGATGGTGGCAATGATAAAGAGGTAGGAGGCAAGTATGAACACAGTGGGATTAATGACATTGGAGGCCAGGAGGAAATACAACACAACCTGGTAGCCATCTTTCCCACTGCAAGCCAGTTTCGCCAGAGGAAGCAAATCACAGAAAATGTCATCAATGATATTATCACTATAGAATTCCATGGCAAAAGTTCTTTTGATGATGATGGAACAGTTAATAAAGCCACCAAGGTATAAGGCTGCTACTAAAAATTCACATAGCTGTATGGACATAGCCTGAGAATAAAGCAGTGGCTTTGAGATGGCCATATAACGGTCATAAGCCATGGCAGCCAACAGATACCACTCACTGCAGGCCAGCCCAGCAGAGAAGAAGAACTGAGATGCACAGCCAGCAAAGGAGAGGCTTTTGTCTTCAGAGATGCAGGTGACTAGGATCTTCGGGATGTAGACAGAGGAATACCACAGATCCAGAGAAGACAGATTCCCAATGAAAAAAATACATGGGCGTGTACAGCTGGGAGTCATTACAGATCAACATTATAAAGGTGGTATTTCCTACTACAGTCACAGAATACACGCCAAGGAATACCACAAACAGAATCAACTGCACCATGGGGTCTGTTGTGAGGCCCACCAGGATGAACTCTCTCACTGTGTGATTGCCCCTCTGCATGGCTGTAGGGAAACTCACCTAGGAGAAGAGAAAATGAGTTTAGCTTGAATCACTGTGCTGAATAAATAGACAATATGGTAAATAAATAACATTACATCACTGGTAAACCTAGAAATCTAGGATCCAACAATGTAAGTGCTCATTTTAGAAAGAGTTTTCATTTTGCAACAAACCACTTAAAACTTATGACTATGCACTGTTAAAAGATAAACTTAGGCACATTAAAATTTTTAACAGTTTACTTGATCTTATATTGATTTGAATCCAGCCAAGTGTCAAACTGAAAGTAGTTAGGAGCTCACCCCCATCAGGAGCTAGGGGACAGGTTTTTACAGAGAAGACACAAAAGGAAAGCAAGGAAATTATTTGATTGACTACAGGTTAAATGATTGCTCTATTTCAGAAAACCTAGCTGGCAGTTTGTGATTGGTTGTTCTAAAGTTTCATTTTCTCGGATTCAAGTGCAGTGACTCTGTCTTAGATATTGGTTTGTTTATGTAAGCTACCGGGGTCTAAGAGCCCCCTCAGTGTAATGGACTCCGTGTTCAATGACTTTAACAATATTCAATTCCAAGTTTCTGAAGTTGGTTATCTATTTTTTCCCTTAGGAATCTTAGGAATGATTGTTCAAGTAAAGGAAGCATGGCCTTCTAATTTCCATTTTCCTATACTTTGGTCTACTTCATAATGTCAATTTGCTTTTTTGCTAAATATGTGACTTCTTAGCTTAAAGTGTTACTTATTTGTATCTAAAATACTGAACTTCACCTATTTTTAATATATTTTTTAAAGAATCAAGTATTTTTCTTTCAGTACTTCCATATACTGAGACACTCTGCAGCCATTATAAATTCATATTTCATAATAATATCTATAGTCATAAGAAAATACTCAGGAGATTATAGGGAAAAAAGAGGATATGTACAAAGTTTTGGAAAAAAGTATAAAGAAGAATGATGTACTATGATGGCATTGTAGAGTACACAGGATTTGCTGTATTTTATATATATTATAAGAATAAAAATATATAGAAATAATCTAAATTACCAATTTTAAATTTAAGTAATTCATGTATACTACGTACGTAACATAGTACTAGAAACTTACACTTTATATTACATTTTTGTTTCTTTTAGAATTTTTTATTATTAAGGATTATTTCTTTAATAATGACAATTGGGAAGAAAATATATGCCTTAGAATATGATGATGAGACTTGGTATTCCATCTGATGACAAAGAAATCTGCTCACCCTCTGCAGGATTCTCTGCACATACAACTACAAATGTTCCCCTGAAATGGGTAGCCTGGAATATATCCAGCAACAGGACATCTGTATTACACTTCGTGGGCAATTCCATTCACACTAACTTCCCATCAACCGAAGTGGTTTTGTAGCTAAATAAACAAAAATCCCAGTGAACATGGGTATGTATGTCCAGCCTCTTGGAATCCAGAAAAACACTCAGATCCTATTAGACTGTCAATATCAGTGTTAATGAAAACCAAAGCTACTAAATTGACTTATTTCTGAGTAAATATAGAACAACAGATGACTGCTGCACCTAGGCTTTGGCTGCTATTCCTCCACTAACGGTGCCCTCGTCTAGGTTCAGGGACCACACACAACTCGGTCCAATGACCACCTTTCAGTCCTCCTCTGATATGATTTATCTGCAGCATTTGACATAGTTTATCCGTCCTTGCTGGAAACACTCTCTTCTCTCTGCTTCCAGGTCTTCAAACTTGCCTGGGTTTCCTTCTGCTTCCATGGCTGTGTGTTCTCAGTAACATTATTGCCCCAGCTTTGAATTTTGGAGTGCCCAGAATCAACCCTTGAATCGCTTCCCTTTTCCATCCACAGTCACTCCATGTTGAGTTATCCAGTCTAATGACTTTAAGTGATTTCCATGTGTAAATCTTATTATTTTTTTAGTCTCCTGACCATTTCTCTTCTCTGAGCTCCAGACTCATGGATATAAATACCTACTTAACATCTCTAACAGGGTGTCCCACTGGGCATTTCAAGAGAAACTGAGTTCCTATCAGTCCCTCTTAAGCCTGCTTTTCTCTCTGATTTCTCCACTGCAGTAAATGGCATTATCTCAGTTTAGGGAAAATCACTGAATATTTTTGACTCCTCTTTGTCTTTTACTTTGTAGCTGATTAACCAGAAACGTCTTGATTTTACCTTCAAAATAGATCCAGAATCTGACCAACTCTTCCCAGCTCCCGTGGCTCTACCCCAGAATAACCCACCATTATCTCACGTTTGCGTTACTGCAGAGCTTCCTAATGGTCTCCCTGCTTCCTGCCTGCTTCCGTGCTCACCCCACTCGAGTCTCTCAACAAGGCAGCTAGAGTGAGCCTTTTAATATACCAGTTAGATCACGTTACTCTTCTTCTTCAAACACTCCAATGACTTCTCAATGTATTCATAGTAAAAGCCAAAATCCTTACAAAGTGTACAAGCTTATTACTTTTCTGCATCTGATTCTCCTGTTCTCCCCTCCACTATTATCTCCGCCCCAGCCATGCTGCCCTCCTTTCCACTCATAGAACAAACAGCACATGGTCAGAGGCTTTGCAGCTGCTCCTCCCTGTGACTAGAATGCTCTTCCTCAGGTATCTTGATAGCGAACTCCCTCACATTCTTCAAGTCTTAATTACCTCTGATATTACCCCTTTTCAGATGTTCCCCCATCACTGTATTGCAGTATACGTCCCTCACATTTCTTATATCTTTTTTCTACTTTATCGCTCTCCCTAGTGCTGCTCATTATCTACTATTACACACATCCCACTAATTTAACTTTTTTTCTTTTCCCTTCACTAGAATATACTCTTTCCCATCTACTTTTCTTGGAAAAATATATCATTTTACTTAGTAGGCTTACTATGAGATCTTGCGGGCTGTTGATTTTAAACAAATCACTCGATATAAACTGAGAACAATTTTGTGGCTGAACAAAATCTTTGAAAACACGAATCCACGGGATGAAAGGGGTTTCCTGTGGGAAAACGTTGAAAACTCCTGGACTCAATCTTAATGTCCTGATTCTCTTGTTCACTGATTCTCATAACGATCCTAAGATTTGATCATTTATAAAAATAATAGCTAAAAATTTTGGATGCTTTACTCTGAGTCAAGCACTGTGCTTAGTGTTTCACATGCATTATTTTATTATTCCCACAGCATCCATCATAGGTATGTTTAAAGATTAATAGCAATAATTTTACAGATAACCAAACTGAGTTTTAATATGTAGCTAGTAATTACACAGTTAAGAGTGGTGTTGTCTTACTCCAGAGACCTGGTATTTAACCACTAAGCCACATCCTTTTATATCTGATATTAGGTTAACCGTTGCTTGGGGGTTCCATGGGTTCCTCTCTTCTAGTTATAACACCTTACCGAAAACTGATAGGATAATGGTGAGAGATTCAGATGCTGTCCCAGGTGAGTACCTCACATATGTATGTTGATATAAATGCTTCCAAGTCGTACCCAAGTCATCTTCTGGCAGAGTCCTGTGTCTTTTACATTTATAGCCAACTCAGATTATGAGTGCACAAACATTCAACTCACCTCACCCAGGACCAAGACACTTACCTGCAACTCTCAGAGTCCCAACCAACAAAGGACCACACCATGGATCCAGATAACTTATACCTGCTCAGGCTCCCCCGTGTATTTGATACCTTAAGGACCTCAGAGTTTCATAGCTTTGAAAGTCCCTGAAAAGGCAATTAAACCAAAAGTGTGCTAACTTTATTTAGGCAAATCTTTCTCAATGCAAAAGAAGAGAAGGACTTAAAAAGTAATAACAATAATCACTGTATTTTGAGAAACTACTCTTTGCAAAACACCTCCTTGGGAACTTATTTAATTGTCAAACAGCTCTGTGTAGTATGTGTTGCAGTTCCCATTATAGACAGGAAAATAGATCCAGAGCATTTAATTAACTTTCCGAAGGTAAACTCAGAAGTAAGTGCAGGCAAGATTGAAGCTCAAGGAGATCTGATTACAAAATCTGTACATTCCTCAACACCAAGTGTACTTCAGAGAGTCATAATCTTTGAGCTTCGATTCAGCAATGGCTGTATTGTTTCAGAAGTGGATTTCACTCATCCTGAGTGTCTATACAGATAGATTTTGTAACAAACATATTCAGTCTCACTTTTCATCAACTGATTACCCAATTTTTAAGTGACAAGAAAGGTGTCAGATTGGCTAATGTCCCCAAAAGCAACTTGTCAAGTTTCTCCATTATGTATCATAATATTTATGGAGTACTTAGTATGTGCCAGACACTCTGCTGAGTGCTTCAAAGGAGTCATTTTATTTTAATCTTCACTATAATCTTATGAAGTAAATGTGATTGTTACTCCTATTTTAGAGATGAGCTATCTAAGAAATGTTTGCACATACGTTGTTCAAGGTCACAAAATTTGAGGGTTGTAGAGCCAAGATTCAAACCAGTTCTCTCAGTGTTCAATATCTGTCCTCAAATCTGCATCTCTACCTAGCATTTAATTTATTCTAAATACTCTGCTAGGTACTAGGAACAAGAGACAAAACTAAGGCATGAGACCTGACCTCAAGAAGGGTGTAGTTTACTAGGAGAAACCAAATCTTTGTATACAAGTAAGTACAATAGGTTATGATAGAATTATCTATCATGCCTCATAGTGGGAGGCAGGCCAGAGTGGACAGCTTGCTAGGAGCAATGAGGGAAGCATTGTGTGTGCTATGAAAGGTTTTAGACAGGAGGGAAAAACATGCTCGTGTGCTTGAAGATGCATGGGCAGTTACCAGGTGGGAGGAAGATTTCTGGCAATGAAAAGGAAACTACAGCTATCAAAGCATAGAAGCAGGGAATGGAATGACTAGAGGGTGGAGAAACTGTCTAAAGTGTGTCAGATCTGTCTGGAGTATGTAGCATATTTTTGTTGGAATGATGTTAGATGAGATTGCAGAGGGCTTTTAATGTCACACT